CGGGGCGCAGGGGGGCGGGGCTGGCCAGGCAGGCAGGCATTAGCTTCAGATGCTGTTGAGAGATCCTGGTACTGGTCCGAGCTGGGAGAGGTCCGGCCCGGTACCATCTCAAATGTACAACACACAAAACATCACGATCAGCAACACACACACACAATTGTATTTTTTTTGTTGTTGTACGCGCTCTATGTGTGTTGCTGCCTCGTGTTTAAACTAGTGATTGGAATGAATTCTGTTTTGGGGTGGGGGTTTCATGATAGCAGCCATCAGAATGCATCACTAAAACATCGATGTTGTTTATCGGTTAACGTTGGAAGCATCGCACGCGGAGTCGTTTGCTGGTGTGCGCAACTTTGTACTAAGAAGGTTGAGAGTGAAGCAAAGAGCGTTCCTACCGTGAGAGGAAGAAGCTGTGTGCGCGCGAGCGTGCGGAGGGATGAGCGTGGAGTTCAGCTGAGGTTGGATAGACAACTCTGCACACACAATGTTGGATTTCACCAGTGAAGAAATTCACTTTGGATATTGATGAAAAACTTGCGACTGGAAAAATTGTGCTCGTTTCCAGCTGAACGCGAGCAGATTTGATTTTTATTTTTTTTAAAACTGGACCCCCTTGTTCAAAACCAAGACATCATTTTAAGGTGACAGTGCAGAAAAGGCCACAAGTGTAAACTGACAATGATTCAGTGACTGATTTGGCCCAAAACTTCTCAGAAACATTTTGATCATCGTCGAACAAAGTAAAAGCAGAAGTATTCAAAATGGGGGACAAAGATAATCAAATGGTAAATGGGCTGACATTTTTATTGCGCTTTTCTACCTTGGGTAGTGAAAGCGCTTTACACCGCCTTCCTCATTTACCTTCTGCTGACGCAGCATCAGGAGCAACTGGAGGAATTCGGTATCTTGCTCAAGGACACTTCAACAAGGTCGCAATGACCGGGGATTGAAACCCCCAACCTCTGGGTTGGGAGACAACTGCTCGACCACTGAGCCATGCCGCCCCCCATAATCGGTCTGCATTCATGGAGGACTTTAGAAATTTGAGAAGACATACGGTTGGGAGTTTGAAATTCAGAGAATTTGGACAATTTCATATTAAACAAAGTCTCAAAACAATCACTGAACAAAATTAATCATTGATTATTGCGCCTCCGATATTCAGTCCGAACTTGGCAATGCCAAAAATTTGGGGTTCACTCCCTTAAACTGAAAACTTCACTCAAACGCGAACGGCTCATGAACGCTAACGGGTTGTGAGCCGCATACTACGTCACTTTCAAAGCGTTTAATCAGTGTACCTGTAGTGCTGAAGTTGAAGAGCACGGGCAACTCTCGCCCGCTTGGCAGCCGCGTGTTGGGCTGCCGCAGCTCGTCGAAGAAGGTGTGCGAGCAGGCCTCCAGCGGCGAGAGGCGCGAGGCCGGCGTGTACTCCAGCAGGCGAGAGCAAAGCGCGATGGCTTCGGGCGGCGTGCGCGGTTTGAACACCTCAAAAGCAGGAAAAAAAAATAAATAAATCTCTCGTGGCGATCTATGACATATTTCGAGTCGCTGGACTTGGATTACCTTGGTCCAAGGGTGAGCTTTGATCTGCGGGAACTTGAATTCTGTGTAGTTGGGGTTCATCTCTCGGATTTGCTCCCTGGTTGGGGTGCCAAGCACCTGGGAAAGCAAGAGCGTGAATCTCACGGCCCGAATCGGATTTCACCTTTGGGCGCTCACCTTGATGATCTCCACCAACTGGTCGACGCCGCTGTCGCCGGGGAAGATGGGCTGGCCCAGCAGGAGCTCGGCCAGGACGCAGCCTGCCGACCAGATGTCGATGTTGGCCGTGTAGTCGGTGGCGCCGAAGATGAGCTCGGGAGCCCGGTAGTAGCGCGAGCAGATATACGACACGTTGGGCTCGCCACGCACCAGCTGCTTGGCGCTGAGGGGCGACAAACGTGTCCGTTAATCGCCCGCATATTCAAAACGCTTCCATACTATAGACATTTGCTGACTGCCTCCACCAAGTTGTGCTTGTATGGTACTTCATGATGTAATAAAATATAATACATCCTGATTTATATAGCACTTTCAGAACAGCTTCTCATCCTCAAAGAGAAACTGTGTTGAACCTCTAATTTCGAAAATTGAGTAATTGTTGATAATTGCATTCATGATTAAATGTTTATTTTCCCCCTGCAGTTCGTCCTGTAGAGGAGGGGTGCCCAAACTTTTTGGATGGAAGATCTACTTTTCCATCAAACAACCTCCTGCGATCGACCCATTACCGCACGCATACGCACACACTTACACACGCATGCCGTAATGAGCGACAGCCATAACGGCCGCTAAGATGAACGAGGCACGGGACGCGCTTTCGCAGCGTGCTAACTATCGTAGCTCACGTGTACCGTTTAAAAATGCTTCTCTCGGCCGCTCAGATTCCCATTCTTTGCATGTACCCTCGATGAATTGCACAAGAAAGGCTGTTTTTTTTTTTTTTTGCAACAGCCACCTGCCTGGCATCCTACCCTGCTAATAGAAACGTGTGTCGCAGGCTATGACGCAAATGTTGAAATGTAATATTCATTCGACACATTTTTACAGCATTGGAAAACAGTAATGTCTGTGTCATGTTTGTCCTCTTACAGAAACCATATTAAAACAAAAACAATATTTCCCTCCATCATTTTTCCATTTTCAAACATTTTTGAAAAAGCTCCAGGGAGCCACTCGGGCGGCACTAAAGAGCGGCATGCGGCTCATGAGATGCGGGTTGCCGACCCCCGCCCTAAAGTAAGGGGGAGAAAAAGGAAAAAAAAGTACCACAAGTGTGCGCGTAACACCAAAGTGTTTTTGATCTTTTACGTCTTTAAAAGAAGCATCTTTAGTGACATGCAGATATAATCTTTCCTCCTGCCATGCAAGCCAGCTTTTCATTTCAATTCGACCCTGGGAGTGAAAAGTTACTACTTTCAAACTTGTACTGGACAGTCCACATTTAGCACACTGATCACGTTTATTCGGGACCTTCAAACAGAAAACGTTCTGGATGTCGGCTTTCACTAAAATCTCATTTTGAAACCTTGTAGACCAGCAGTGACCGAGTGACTCACCTGCCAAAGTCACACAGCTTGAGGATGGCTGTTTCAGGGTCCACCAGCAGGTTCTGCGGCTTGATGTCCCGGTGACACACGCCTTGCGAGTGGATGTAAGCCAAACTGCGAAAGAGCTGGTACATGTACACCTGCAAGAGACAAGCGTGATGTCACGGGCGGGTTTCAAGCGGGCTCCCTCCTATGTGGTGGGAAATATTACCTTGACGTAGATGATAGGAATGATGCTCTTGTTCTTGTTGAAATGCCGGGCAACCCTGTAGACCGTCTCAGGGACAAAGTCCAGCACCAAGTTGAGGTACACTTCATCCTTCTTGATGAGATAACAGGTATGAATATCACATTTTCCCCATCAGCATAAACGTGCAAAGACCAAGAGAGTCAACCTTCTCTCCGCTGGAGTAGAAGAAGTAACGTAGTCTGACAATGTTACAGTGGTCCAACTTCCTCATGATCTGCAGCTCCCGATTCTACAAGGCGGCGACATCAACGGGAAATCAGTCAAAGACAACAAATGGCATGCAGTTTTTGTGTTTTAGTTTGACTTCACCTTGAACCTCTTATCTTGGAGAACCTTCTTGATGGCCACCATCTCTTGGCTGTCGATGAGGCGCGCCTGGTAGACCACCCCAAACGAGCCGTTGCCGATCACCTGAGGAAAGGACGTCAAGGGTCACGTTTGAAGACATGATGGCCGTCTCCCGCACGTGATGGCGTCTAAATGCACCTTAATGTCAGTGTAGGACACTTCTTGGGGGCGGTCCGGGCCCTGACCCGGTGTGGCCACCACCGTCGTCACCTTGCCGCTGTCTCCTAGGAAATGAGGACACTTTAAGATGAATTCAAGTGGACCACTGTGCCTCTTTGACATCACATATTTGGTCCACATCTCGACTGGATATTTTCTTTTAATACTCGGGTTATGATATTCACATTCAAGACAACGCTTGTCAAAAACAAACATTCGAATGTCAGGTAACTATCAGATTTGCAAAGAACACAATGCTAGAAGAGAATTTGGAACATTACTTTTGGACATTATGACGGCAACGTGACATTTTACCACCGCAAGTACAAGTGGAGCTATTTATGCTCAAGATGCACAAATGTCAAAGCACATTATTCTCCGTGCAATAATTCATCATGCTAACTGGGTTAATGTGTGAATAACCTACCTGCGAACATATCCGTCATACCCAAAAGACAATCTTAAAAAGCATTTCAAATGTCCGACGATGTGCACTGACATTTAAATGTTAACAACTCTATTTCCAAGCACATCTTGCCACTGTAGCAAGGCGGCTAGCGCCCAAGACGTCGATGACTGGCGTTCTTCATCTGTCGGTCAGCCGGACGAGCACACGGAGTCTTCCGAACACGCACAGGTGACCTTGTGAGCGGGCAACTTTACACCCGGGAGCCCCACGATGATGCGAGTCACCGGCAAGGCAGTCAGCTCACGCGAACAATGACCGTTTAGCTCGGGACTTTAGCCACTCGGGCTACAATAATTACCCGGTTTCGATGCTCGCTTGAGCATTAAGAATGAGCTCCATGATGCGATGTGCGTAAAAAGTATAAATATGACGATTAAGTTTCATTGAACGGGGGTCCGGCCGAGCGCATCAGCAGACTGGGCGGTGAAGTGGTAACGTACAAAACAAGTGGCTAACGTTAGCATGCTAGCTAGCAGGCACGGCTGTTTTTTGACTCTTTAAAGTGGGCCAAAAAAGTCAAGGCGGGGCATTTAATATGTGACATCATTTAAAAAGAATATCATATTGACTAATTGCAATTGAAATCTTACTGGCGAGCTTGAGGTTCGAGCATCCCGACAAGCTACTGCCGGAGGCCTGTGCGACCCCGGACTTTCCTGTGCTGCTCCCCACGGCAGCGGCTGATCCGGCGGACGCGGCGGCGGCGGCTCCTGGAACTCCTGGCGGCTCAGCAAACGAGCTGGTCCTGGGCCGCCCGCTGCCGCTCATATCTTTGCGCAGGGCTCGTGGTTGTCTTCCCACTCTTTTCTCCCCCCCCGGCCGAGTGACTTTGTCTCAACAAAAATGCGAAGAACCCGACAGCGAGCTATTTTGTGGAAGACACGCCGAGAATCGCCGCTGCTGCTGCCGCCGGCTGGTGTCTGCCTGCCGGGGCTGGTTAGCTGTTGCCAGACACCCAGAAACAGAGCATGCGCAAAGCCTCATATGGGAAACGTAGTTCGAAGGGTGATGTGATCCTGGCTCACGCTTTGACTTGGCTAGCTTGCTAAAAATCGCAAGTCGGCAACCACAAGATAAAGATTGGACACTGTACACCCATATGTACATAGAGATGTTTAAAAAAAAACAAAAGAAAAGAAAGAAAAGTCTATTATGTTGGTTTGGCCTTCTTTGCACTTTTAACATTTGTGATTATTTTTGCCACAAAAAATCTTCTTTCTCATTGTGTGATTCATCAGAAGAAGACATTGTCAAGTTATTTTCATTAAACGGTGGATACAAAAAGTCTAAAGTCTTCGAGAGGGGTTAGACTGAACCAATCACATTCAAGCTTGTGCGAAATGGGAGTCAGCACACACCTCTGATTAACCCCAATTAAAGATCAGATGTTCTAGTAGGATTTTCCTTTTCCTGTGTCAGGGACAGACTCCTAGAACAGCTGAACTTTATTTGGGGATGATGCAATACATCTTTATTTACAAAGCGCTTTCACAACAGTCATCAGAGGTACTTTAGATGGTGCCAAGAGTGTGTTGTCCCCCATTTAACATTCTGAACAGAACTACATTTAGTTGTAGTATTTCATTTTACCTATAAAAACATCTACAAAAAGCTGTCATTTGAACAGGTGTGTAGACTCAATTCCATTGCATATGTCCTTATGAATATGTATATGATTTCCAAATTTTGCATGAAACAAACCAAATTGTCGAATTCTGACAGCGTTGAACCACCAATGAACATGAAAAGAAATTTGCAATCAAGTGTCCAAACGATAACAGATAAATCCACAGACAAAACAGGGATGTCAAATCAAGTCAACAACGATGGGCCTTGTGTTAGATCTTTAATATTTTCAATATCTAGTTTCTTTCTTTTTTTTTCTGTCGTCATTTAGAAATATTGCACATGGTCATCATGCCTGCTTATGAGATCACACTCGTCTCACTCATCCTAAAATTCCTTCTCCAAAGCAAGGACAATTCATTTTCAAAGCACAATCATACAGTACACACGCATTACATAGGTACGCTCGAGCGTGTGTCTGTGTATACACATATGTCTGTGAGGGTGTTTGCATGCCAATGCACATGCATGCAGATGGGGTGCATGGCAGCCCCTGACCCCAACTTCCTCGGGGGATTGTGATAGTCTTCTTTCACCTGTGTGTATCGGATAGCCTGAATAGATAGTTTTGTCTAATAGATCCTGAATGTAACTGATAACAGTCAACATGGCGGACAAAATAGTCGTGGCGACTACAAAAATACTGTCTAGCATGAAAAATATACTATTGTCCTTGTCGATGCTGTTGCTGTGTGACGACAGAACGAGTGGTTGGTCATGTTAACGCATTACCTGCATGTGCCAAAACGTACACACACACCCAAACACAGACCTAAAATGCACATATATGGAAAAAAAAAATACATCGGTGAATATATATATATATATATATATATATATTATTCACATCGAAAAGTTTACAGAGAAATAAAAGCGATACCCATAATAACAATCACTACCCCTCCAAACTCTTCAGCAAAGGAAGCCAAGAGCCACAAAGTGCTATTCAAATGGTATTTTTTTTTTACTTTTAGTAAAGTTACACACTATAATCTCTTCAACAACAACAATCGTGCCATTCATTTTTTCTTTTATACCACAGCTCAGAAATTACAAAATGGTATTAGGGCCACACTCAAAAGAAAACGAATAATGACATTGGAATACGACTGCTACTACGAGGGTGACGTTGCAATGCGGTGACATTCATGATATGCCGAAAAAATTCACAATCTTATGAGAATAGTCATACATTAAAAAAAAAACAACAAACTTTTTTTTAGATAGGCTTTTTGTCAAAAATGCAACTTGTTTTTTTTAATCAAAATTATATCCTAATTATTTCAGAACTCATATTATTTTTTTCAAATTTTACATTAAAAAGTTACATTCCCAGAAAAAAATTGAGAAAATAGCCTTCATTTTATTTTATTTTTTAAAGATAAGGCTTTTTCTCAAAACACTACTTAACCCTAACGAGATTAAGTCTCCTCCCGCCAAAAAAAGAGTCGTCATGTTTCAAAAGAGAAAGAAAAAGTCATAAAAAGTCAAAATATGAGAATAGTCAGTTATTTAAAAAAAACAAAACTGTACTACTAACTTGATAAGATTGTCTGTGTGTCATATTTATAGCATATAACGTGCTTGCGAAAAATGTCCCCCCCCTTAATATCTACATAGATGGAATGGAGGCAACTTGTTGAATTTGTTGTTTGTGATTGTTTTTAAAAAATGACTAAGGCATTATGCTTTTCGGCTAATGCTCATTTCGTGCATTGACATCCTTCCTTAAATTCTCATCATCAAATTACATCTTCTCATAACATTGTGATTTTTTTTCACTTAAAAAAGTAGACTTTGTCTTTGACATATATATATATATATATATATATATATATATATATATATATATATACACACACACACACACACACATATATATATATATCTATATATAATACTGGTCTGTCAAGGAGGGGAAGCTCAATTTCGGCCTACAGCACCATTTGATGGGAAAGGATAAAGTGTCGAGAAGGGAGGGAAGAAGGGAGGGCTCCAGAGACTGCCCTCCAGAGCTGGTCTAGGATCTGCTTTCCCTGAACTGAACCTGAACCAGAACCATCCTGAGCTACATAGCGCTTGACCCGGGACCAGTGCTTCAGGGCACTTTCTAACAACGCTTGAGAGAGATACAGCAAGGGAAGGTGAGGGGATGGGGGTGGGGGGGGGTGTCAAAGGTGATTGATAACACGTGGAACAAGGTTATTGTCTGCTCTACTAAAACAATCTCTAAAAACAATACTTTCCTGATTGAACTTGCGGCGCTCTCACACGAGACGGGCCACGCGGATTGTGCAAACACCTGATTTCAACATTTTACAAAGAGACACAAAGGGGGAGGGGCGCAACCCCTCCTTCACTCTTAAGATATTTAAAATCAAGATTGCGGTCATCGGGACAGATAACATCCTCGCCCCATTCTAAGTCCAAAGTCTTTTTGTTGTTGATGTTGTTGTTGTTGTTGTGATTTTCTTGATTTGATGCTGGAGAAGAAATACAAGCCACGAGAGAAAAACAGGCCATGGTAAAACTGCTCAATTTCCACAAGCAGAGAAAGCGACAGCGTATCCGACGGGGGAGATTCGGACAAGAAGTGTGGTTCCAAGTTTTTTTTTTTGTTTGTTTTTTCCCTTCTCTCTGTCGTTGAGCCTGACATCTTGTGGTTGCTTTGCATATAAACACTTTTTGGGAGATTCGACCTTCCATCCAGCTTCAAAAAAAATCTGTTTCGGTGCCTCCATGTCCAAACACTCAAGAGTGGACAAGGGTTCAGTTTTCCGACATGGTCATGACGGAAGGTGCAAAGATTCGTCACAACGGAATCATGCCGAGATCTCTCATTTTTGTCTTTACAATCGCTGACGAAACTGTGCGTGGGGGCGGGAGGTGCCCATGGGCTGGTCACGGCGCGGGGGGCACGCGCCGAACTGACTGCATGTGTAAGTGTGAGTGTATGTGCATGTGTACTTCAGTGTGTGCGTGTCTTGTGTGTGTGCAGCATCGAGGGGCCGTGGAATATCAGTGGAGGTCGTCAGGGTTGTGGTTTTGCGTCCGGGACCCACTGTGCTGAGGAGTGGACGGACGATGAGGTCAAGTCAATGGCAACAGAGGGCTGGCTGGCAACAGCTGAACTGCATTTGCACAAGAACAAGTGACAAAGTGCCTTTTTGATGTGCGTGCGTGAGTGCATGTGTGTGTGTGTGCGCATGTGTGTGTGTGTGTGTGTGCGCATGTGTGTGTGTGTGTGTGTGTGTGTGTGTGTGTTCCTGGGAGGCGGCTCCTGGCTGCCTCCATCCAAGAGTAACAGTCTGATTTGCTAAGTGTGTGTCAGCATCATGCTGAAGATTATATCTGCACCATGGTGTGTGTGTGTGTGTGTGTGTGTACCACAGAGCTTGTGTCCCGACTACAAACTACTGTACAAATGTGCTAAGGGCAGACCTGGGCGTAGAAATAGTACTTTTTCCTCCGGTGAATATTGATTTTTTTTTTTGGGATGGGGTGGGGCTCGGGGGGGGGGGATATTATTGTTATGGGACTGTATTCCACTATTATCCCGCCCAGGTCAGATTAAGAGTAAGCGTCTGCGTCCAAACTTCTTCACTTCTTCGAAACCTTCACTTTTGGGCTTCTCCATCTTGCGGCCTTCAGTCGTCCGTCTGTTCCGCTCCTCCTCCCGCGTCCTCCTGCAGTGACGGGTTGAGGACGGAGGAGCTCTGCGCGGGTGCGGGGCTGCCGGCCTCGGCTGAGAAGCAGCCGCCGCCCTCCAGTGTCCCTGGCGTGGCAGCCTGCATGATCTTCTGGCGGACTTCGCGGATCTTTAACTGCAGGCACACCTTGGTGGGGAAGGTGTCGGCGTAGCGGGATTGAAAGGCTGCCGTGGCCTGAGCTGCAAGCGAGGAAGGCATGGCAGGCAGTGCGCAGGGATTAGTGCTGTGCAATTGATCATTTTAGTTTGTCCGGAAAGTCTGAAGAACATACAGCAGTTTCTATTCGACCTTCAGGATGCCCCACTGGCAAAAGTTAGAGCAGCTAACTCGATAGAAATGTTTTCATCTCAATTTAAGAGTTACATTCTTCACTCTCGCATGCGGTGAAACCATTTTAATCTCTTGCCCTGCCTCACCCTCTGACATCTGGATTACGGCCTGTTTTATTGCCACTTCTCATCTAACATCAACCGGCTCTGCTCTAGCTCAGAGAGGACCTCAGACAACAATGATTGAAGAGAGTTACTGCTGTGATTCTGTATCCACTGCCCAGGACAAGATCTGAGGAGGGACTACTTGCCCAAACGCGTTGCTGACCCACTAGGAAAAGGTCGTGAGGATCATTTCTCAAGTGTGACACCAGTAGATTGCCCTTATAGCAGCTACTGCTGAAGAAAGCTCTCGTAGGCTCGCATTGGTTAAATCTCAGCTAGTATGCAACTCTCTCACCTTACCTCACACTCTCAGAGATGGATTTTGTGTCTGTTTGACTGACTTCTTCTTTCAGTATCAAATAAAAACACTTCATGGAACCACTATGTTTGGTTACCAAGAAGCTTGACAGGATGACAGGATGCATTTCAATGGTCCGAATATTCTTACAGGGAGTCATTAAAATTCTATCCCATGTTTTGTGGCCTAAGATTTACAAACGTCATCATCATGTTTCAAGTGCCGTCAGCTGTGGCTCACCTGAGGGGAAGAAGCCATGTTCCTGAAAGAGCTGCATGACGAGCGCTCGCCGCTGGTCCAGAGTTCTACGCAGGGACGAGAAGGGCACCCGGTCCAGGTCTCCGAGGAGATCCTCTCCCTCCATACCTGCGGTGTCAACGGCACGAGTGAAGACACTTAACGGATGAGCTCCGAGCTGTGACTGGCAGTCGGTCGCCACGGCGGTCCCACCCGCTCTGTCAAAGGTGAAGATGTCGCCCTCGCACTTGGTGGCGCTTTTCGGAGTGTTGGGCTCCGAACTGCAGCTGGAAAGGCGGCGGGTCTTCCTCCTCGGTGAGCTCGGGTCCTCGGTGGCCGCCTCCAGTTCTTGATGGGCCAATGAAGGAGAAGAGCAGGGATGAAAAACGAAGCAGGGAAAAGATACGAAGAACAATGTGAAGAAAGTAGAATGATTTGTGTGGGAATTGCGAGCTAAAACTAAAGATTGATATGCTCGCCAATTCATGATGTGTTTCATTGGATTGAATCTGTCGAGAAATGTGGACGGAGGAGGGCCACATGTAAAATGTCTTCACTAATTTTAAATGGAGAAATAGGAAATACTAGAAGGACAATCCAAATCAGAGAAATACAGCCGGGGATGACACAAAGGGTGTTTTCGCATGTTACCGGTGGAGTTGCGCCTCTTCTTCCGGTAGCTCCCCAAGATGGCCCGAGGGGACGTGGCCAGGCTCTGCAAGGTAGGTGACGGGAGCACCTCCGCCGGGTTGAACTCTGGAAGCTCGGCAAAACGCTCCTCGAAGTACGTCTCAGACAAAAGCCTGCACGGAGAAGCGAGAGTCAGTAAAATGCCTGCTGTGAGAGGGTCCTCGCTTCAGTCGGCATTCACTTGTCGTGAGGATCGGGCGTCTTTTTGAGCGGCGGCGGGCGGAACTTGATCCTCTTGGAGGACGCCGTCGGCTCTTTCTCGGCAAGTGGAGGCGGCGGCGGATCCAAACCTGAAGATGGCGGATGAGGAGGAGGTGGAGGAGAAGAAGAAGGAGCTCCAGCCTGTGATGAGAAAAGCACAAGAGAATTACATGTTGCGTTTGGAACTGAAGCGCAAATCTCACAAAAGTCTGCAAGTTTAATGCTAACACAAAGCAAAAAGTCTGCAATCAAGTCTGCAAGTTTAATGCTAACACAAAGCAAAAAGGGGCCACGGAAATAGCACCTATGTCGAAGTAGTTCTAGAAGTTTAAGTTTCATGGAAATTTGAACACAAACACCACAGTAACACAACAATCTCAACAAAAGTTGTCCAAGTGCCTTGCTTCAACCTTTATGGATTACTATGAGCTGGACGACTGAAAATCGAAACAGATGTGAAGGAAAAAATGTTTTCAACAAGCCTTGGGCAAATATGCTATTAGGTCAATCATATTTTCTATCCAGCGAAAAATGACTATTACTGGAATTTACTGTGTCACTCAGTTTTGAAACTCTTCTTTGTATGTTAAGCACATCTGCATGATACTGCCTCCTGGTGGCCAAGGCACATACAGCATTGTGAATGGGCAGTCAAGCATGAAATCATGATGCACTTTGGCCATGTTTCTAAAAATTACTCAAGAGTATTACAGTATTTTACATATTCTCTCGCTTTAAAATATAATCATCGTTCCAGATACACCCCCACCCCACCAAAGGTGTAAACCTCAACTGGGATTCTTTTGCACTCATTGCATGACGGAGGAGATGAATGAATTACTGAGAGTAGCAAGAAACCGCTACACAAAATCCAACACATGACAATAAAAAGCAGGAGTATGGATAATGTAAATGCTCGGTTCAACTAGTATCACCTCTTCCTCTTTCTTCATTTCTCGTCCTCGTATCTCATCCCTGCTTTCCTTGATCTTCTCCTCACGCGCTTCCTCGTCCTCCTCCAGCTTGACACTTTCCTCCTTGATTAACTGACCAATGTTGTCGTCTTGTCTTTCTGCAGAAGGTGGAAGATTTCTGACTTGACAGTCCACCACCATTCGCGCTACTTGTCGTCTGCTTGAGTGCTGAGCATCATGGGCCATGTAGTTTTTTTACCTTTGACCTCCTTGACTTCTTCATCTCCTTCCTCCTTGGTGTCCGGCTCACCAAGCTCCTTTTTCATATCAACCTCCGCCGTGGTGGAGGGCTTCGCCACATCTGGAGCATTTATGGCGGGCGATGCGGTTGTCAGGGTGACCAGGCTGGACGCCAACGGACCAGCGGGGTAGATGGTGGTAAGAACCTGATGCGGAAATCATTTTGCCGTTAATTAGACATTAAGCTAGCGGACATTTTTTTTTCTCGAATAAATACAAATGGATTTTTAGGAGATGGCTTTCGCCATCCAACATTCAAATCGCTAATTCACTTTTAAAATAAAACACGTTGCATGTTAAACACATATTTGAAATGTGTTCTTTTTCACTTCCTGGTCTTTACCTGCCGAGCAGTGGAGGCGTTAGAGGCGCTCTTGACATTGTGGCTCTGGCCGCTCAGGGAGGGAGTCGGAGCCAGCACAGGGTGCCCGGCCGGCGCGATAGTGGTGAAGCCTAATGTGGTCAGGGGAGACGAGAGAAAGGCAGCGCTGGGCACCGCTGGCGGTACCTGGGCTTGTTGGGGAATCGTCATGGTAACGCCCGGACTCGACTGGACATAGGTGATCCTGCGGGCAAGATGCTAGGCTATGAGTGTTAAGGCTAAACTGCAACAAACATTCACAGTATACGAGCAGTTCCGATTTTAGAGTTGTGCGCCTTAAGTGTAGTACCACGTTGGGCCACAACATGCTGGGCAGCACTGAGGTTTACTGGAAAAGATGCTGCGTGATTGCTAAGACTAAGAAGAGAAGTCATTGCTATCGTCCAATATATTTTCTTTATCATTTTCATTTAAAAATCTCCAAGCAGCCATCTAAGCTATGGCGGTGATGAGGTTCTTCATTTAAACAAATCTAATCCTTTGCCGCCATCTTGTGGCATTTATGGCAACTACACCCCAGTATAAAGACTTAGGTCAATTCCTCGAGGATTCAGTTACCAGTTTCACTGTGGTAGCAAAATTAAGATGCTCAGCTAACCTGGTAGGCGGCGTGGTCAGGATGAGGGTCTGTGGGGGCGCGGCGCCGGCAGCCATCACCGTTGCCATGGAAACAGGAAAAGCGCTCCCATGGTGAACGCTGCTTTGGACCACTGGCATGGGAGCAATCTGGATGATCTGTCGAGGACAGGGCATCGGGCACGGCAAGGTTTACCACAACAGTGACACCACATGTTGGCTATGACACCATATAAAATAAAAAAAAATTATCATCTGATGAAAGTTGTCAGGAAATTTATATTTCATTTCCTACTGTGTCATCCTCGCCACACAATTTTCACACATTTACGGTTTACCAATCTCTCGTGAGTCCTGCAATATTTGCTCAACTATTTTGCTCAAATTGGTTAAAATTTTTTGTGTCATGAAAAAAAAATGTAATTGATTAACTGTAAATGATCCAATGAGGAATATTTTCGTCAAAACAAAAATGTTTCCGTCAACATTTTTGTATTTATTTGTCAAGTGGTGGTCTCTCCATGTGCAGACTCCCACCTTGTTTCCTGCGGCGGGGCCATTTTGCACAGGAAGAGGTGGCGCCACCAAAGAGACGGGCGCCTGCGGAGGCGTGGACCCGGATTGGACTGTCGCCATGGGAACGAACATCTTATTCTGCAGCTGGGCTTGAACTGTGTGAGAGAGAGAGAGAGAGGGACAGAAAGAAAGAGGAAGAAATTAATAGAGGCCAGACTGAAGCAACAGGTGGGCGGGATGCACTGACACAACGGTGAGAAAGGACAGTTGGAGTGACTCAGTCAAAGCAATTTTATTTTGAAAGGCTAATGGCGTCTCACCTCTGCTTCCTGTCACTCCCGCCCCCGAGTGCGGCATGCCATTCGGCGAAGGGGGGGCGTCAGCGGGCACCGAGCCCATTTGTTGGCAGGTGAGTTCAGGTGGAGAGGGGGTCTGGGGGGCCGGCAGGATGTACTTGGGACCGCTAGCGGAGGGTGGAGGTTCGGGGGAAGTGGTGGCAGTGGGTCTGATTACAGCTAGCGGGGGCGGCTGGGCGTGAGTCAGGAGCTTGACAGGCTGGGCGGGCACCAAGGAGCCCCCGAAAGAGAAGTTGGGACCAGGAGAGGCAGAGGACAGGTACCCACCCTCTGTGGTGATAGGCAGCTGCTTCCCTCCAATGAGGATGGTGGCTTTGTTGTCTTGCACCGGGCAACCGAGGGTGATGACGCCCTCGACAGGATGCACCGCATCCTGGGTGTCGGGCGTGGAGCCCCCCACGGGCAGGGAGGCCACCCCCTCGCCTTCTCCTGCAATGCAGCCGCCCTTGCCGTCCTCGTCTGCCGCATCGATGCCCATTTTCCTCTTGCTCTCACACTCGTCGTGAGGGGTGGGAGGCGAGGGGGAAGTGAGGGAGGAGCGAGCCAGTGGCTGCAAGCCAGGCTGGAGGCGAGGGAAAAAGACGGAGATCAAAAAGATAAAGTAGAATATAGAATCTCTGACTTGACTTTTTCTCGATGGCGTTTGCGTATATTTTGAATGCATAATACGGTGTGCTTCATGCTCAGGTTTGGCGATATGATCTTAAAATTTTTTTTTTTTCCATTTTTAATCACCCCGCCGACATTATTCTTCTGGGAGGTGCTTCCATTTCGAGCTTTGTACAATTATTTTTTTCCTGATTACTGTATTAACTTACATAACATCAACTTCCACAAAATTGCATTTCCCTTTTCTTTGAGCAAAACATAGCAAAAATTTTGGGCACCGCTGTACTGTGCTGAAAAACACTGATCAACAACAAATTTTAATCAGAGAAGGTTTTGTGTGTCCCTGATTTACGTTGACTTAAAAAAATATGATGTAAACCTGATGTGCTCGACGAAAAAAAAAGAAATCAGCTAAAACAAATGAATCCAGAAATTCACTCACATCAGATGAAAAAAATCGTAAAATACTATTGATGAGGGTTTTCAATTACATTTTTGTAGTCAACTATAACGTATGACTGGATTTGAAGTTTTTTGGGGGTGGGGGGAGGTTCCCCCCCAGCTAATTACAGCTGTACCCAAAATTTTTGCGCCACAGATTCGTTTTAACGTCAAGACTTTGTTGAGTTGAATATCCTCTGTCAAGAGGAGGACTGGAAAATGAGATGAGACACGAGATGAACCATTAATTTGCTAATGCGGAGTAGTAAAATCAAGTCAACTTGACATGAGGGCTCAGAAAAGTCCAATAAAAAGCATTTGATCAACCAGCCCTTCTTCCCCTGATGCTTTTTCGTCATGTGTATATTTTTTGTTTTATCGCTTTGTGAAGCACTTTGTTGTTTCAAATCAAGTTGGACGGCCATACCTGGCCATCGGGCTCGTCTTCGTCGCTGTCCGTCACTCTCTCCTTACACTTGAGGTCAATGGAGCCTTCGGGACACGAGTCCTCTGTAGACAGATGCCACCCACGTCAAGTAACACAGTTGCTCGCAACATCAGAATTTCAAGTGGAAAAAGGTTCTGTTACATGCACTGTGAATATTGTTTTTTTTTTTTCTAAAGATAATTTGAACAAACATTTACAATATATATATATTTTTTTTTAATGCTGCTGGACCACTCACCCATGACATCATCATCCCCCTCTTCCTCACAGATGACCATGCGCTCCTCATCACTGTTGACATCCTCGCTAGCTCCGCCTTCAATGTGGGAGGATGATGGCAGCAGTTGCCGGTTGCGCAAAAAACTCGGCCCATCCTCCTGTCCATTTTTTTTTTTTTTTTTTAAACAACAGAAAAAAAAGACCATGCTAAAATAAAATTATGACTGTTAGGTATTGTTACATTCAAATGAGCAACTTTCATGTTGTGTTTCAGCCCATTTTCTGTTCTTCATATACCGCATCTTCATCCCATGAAATGAGTGTAATGGCAAAATAGACGTGGACACTTTTTACTTGTTTTATGAGATTCATTTTATGATTTCTGATTTATTTGGGGATAACCGGTTCACGCGGTGCAGCAGTCAGTGTTGCTCGCAGCGGGTGTGAACTCATTGCCTCGGAGACAAGCTGGCTCTCTCCCACGTGATTTTTCTGTCTGGCACACTTCAAAGGCATTGAAAAGCTCAAAGATGTTTCGAGATCGCACAAAGACTCGCTTTCAGCGGAGTGAAGGACACATGGCGGCTATGGTCTCACACACACACGCACGCACACACATGTACTAGTGTTGTTTACATCGCCTGTATTCACGCTTTTGTTCCGGAGGGGAGATAATCACACACGAGTACGGGGTGCTTGCAGACATAACTGTCTCCCACCTTCTCGCCGTCTACGCGGTGCTCCAGGCTGTGCACGGCACTGTGGGAGAAAGCTCTGGGACGGGGTTGTTGACCGCCGAACACCTCCCCCGCTTGGCGCTCGCCTCCACAGGTCCACGGCGAGCTCAGCAGCTTGCCTTCCAGCGCCTGAGACTCCAAATGCGGGTCTGGGGTGGGGGAAAAGGAAGAAGACCTCAAATGGTGCATCATCTGGATCCTCTGATAATGCAATATTCATACACCGGTGCCAAGTTTATACAGGTTTGCTTCGTGCTCTTTCCTTATGGAAATGAATGGAGGAAAACAGTCGTTTATAATATTATACTTTATAAAAACATATCGTCATAAATTAATTCAACAGAATGAAAAGCATTCAACAGTTTGTGAACCATCATAAACTCATTGTGGCTTATTCGGGTTTGCACGAATTGGCCACCGGGGGCAGTAGACAATAAGTCAAGCAGACAAATGAAGAAGAGTTTCACAACTACAATACAACACAAACTATTGCACTGTCGTAATTGTAGTAAGCTACTTTTTATTTCTTATTTCACTGCATGTGGCTCAGTATGTAACAGTAATGTTATGAATGATTTCAAACAGGATAAAGAATATATGCCCATGAGGACTTTTTTTTTATTGTAAAGGCAGCGAGAGGGGTAATCCTATGAAAAAAATATCACAACAACAACAATAATAACAATAATAATAATAATAATAATAACATGGTTCGCATTACAACGCTCAAGGTTTTTCATTCAAATGGTTTCAGTTCTATCACCATCATAAACAAACCCCTCGCACCTATAGTTTCGGACATGCTCCTCTCCCGTGCTTCCTTGGAGGCCCCGCGGCCGTCAGACAACGACTTCCTGCGGTCCTTGTTGCACCACTTCCAGTCGGGATGTGCTCGGAAGTGAGCCTCCTTCCCCTGCCACAGAGAGAAGGTTCAAACAATGACAAATACAGCGCAGACATTCTTAAGTGGTTAAAAAAAAAAAAAAAAAAAAAAAAAAAACGGTACCTGGCCATAGCCCATTCGGTTACGATGGAGGAAGCATTGACATTTACAGCGGCTACAGTGAACATATAAAGTCTAAAAACACTTTTGTTTGAATGCCGTATTTTTGTCATATAAAAGAAATGACCACAAGATTGATTTAAGCTCATTCATCCATTATTTGTACAATTTAATTGATTGAGAAAAAAAAAATTGAAAGGGGAATTAAACAAACAACTGAGATGTGATTGCACAAGTGTTCACACCCTCTTTTGTGTTCAACAATGAAGCAATGATATTCAGTCATGTTCATCGGGAGTCACACATTTGCCACTAGTTGAAGTGCCTTGAAATGACAGTCAGCTGTTCTAGTAGGCTTTTCCTGACAGAATTTGTGTGATTTACTTAGTCAAGATTATCTAGGTAGAGTTACAGTTTCTTGGTTGGAGTTACAAATTGGGATATTCAACTAGGTTTTTTTGGGGGGAGGGGACTTTATTGCAGAAGCTAGAAGGTTTTGTGCTACTCCTAACTGTTATTTGGAACTGTTCATAATTGCCTCCACCTTGAGCTGAAGAAAAACAGCCCCAAAGCTTGATGATGCCTCTCTGCAGGTAATTTGACAACATTTTATCCTGACTTCAATAATGTCAGATACAAGCAAGGCGGGGGGCGGGGGAGGGGAACTCATGAAGAAACTAATTTTTTTTTTAAGGCCATATCACCCAGCTTTACCTCACACACAAGCAAAGGTGAAGTTTAAACACGAGTCCTCTAAAAATAGCCAGGTGATGTAATGCAGTTAAATCGTTTTGCCCGCGTCCCGACCTGGAAGGCTAAGTCGTGGTACTGCTGCTTCTCATTGGGTCCCAGCGCGTACCACCACTCGCCCAGGATCTTGCTGACAGTTCGGTTGTCCTGATTGGGGTGTCGCTGGTGGACCAGAGCCCGGTGGCGCTTGCTGAAGATCATGAAGGCGTTCATGGGCCGGCGGATGTGGTCTTTTTCCCTCTGGTGAAAGAAAGGAGCAGATGTTAAGAAGGATATCAGGGAGTTTGGTGTGAATCTGGCGATCATGGTGACGAACCGACCTTCCTATCTGCGTCTTTGGGCAGGGCACTGAGGGACTGCGTGCGCCTCTTGGCGGGGCCACGCGAGGGCGATGCGTCGTTGGCAACCATGCCAGGGGAGAAGCTGCAGTGCGTAGGGAAAAAAAAAAAAAAAAACAACATTTGCAATATGAAAAAGAGTGACAGGGTTTGATCTTATTTGATGAAATAAAAAGGTGACTTCATCTCCAAAAATACTATTGTAATCTTGTAAGATGACTAAATTAGGTTCTTCGGGTCGTCTTCTTCCCGGGGGGGAGACACCAACAAAAAATTTAAAAATACAGCTGCATTCTCAGACTACAATGTTTCCTCTTGATAAAAATGAGAGAAAAAGAAAAGAATCCATCAATCAAAAGTGAGCATTGTTATCTGTATGCAAAAAAAAAAAAAAGTCATTTTCGACACAGCTGCTGCAATGGCCCTCATTCGCCCGTGTACCTAATGAAGTGGCCGGTGATGTAATGTCTGTTGCCAAGGCAACTCCTCAGCACAAGTGACTGAGTCAACACGCGAACGACACCTGAGCTGTCCTGTCGAACCGCATGCTAAAAAATGCTAAGGTTAAACAAACATGTTGAATTTGTAGTTCGTGCAAAGTCAGAAGATGGGGGAGGAGGAGGAGGAGGAAGCTCTCCTTTTTGTCGGCGACAGCGACCTTTTGTGAGCGCGGCGACCCTGAAACATTTCTTTGACAAAAAACAAAAAAAAAGCACACTCTACAAACCAGACAGCCTGTCTGAGTCAGCGTGAAAGAGCAAAAACAGAATCAGACGTGATGAAGAGCGCAGCCAGCGAGCTGTGTGTGTGTGTGTGTGTGTGTGTGTGTGCGCACTGTGCACACACACACACGCACCATTTTTGTCGCACTCTCAGAGGAGGTAGATTTCACAACACAAACGAGTGTGTGTCTGTGTGTGTGGTTGTGTGTGTGTGTGTGTGTGTGTGGGTGTGTGTGTGTGTGTGTGTGAGAGAGAGATAGAGAGAGAGAGAAGAGTACCCTTGAGAGGATGAACACGTGGTGCTTCCATGGAGTGCACACACAAATCAAAGTGCCATTTCACAACGAGACAACACGACTTCACGCACCACTAGCACTTAATCCTCATAAATTTGGACAGAAAAAATATGCCCTTATTATCATTCACCATGTTCATATTATGACATTTTGGTGGGAAATTTGGATTTATTGTCATAATGCTGAAGAAAAAAAAAAAAAAAGACTGAAGGTGACACTTTTTTTGGCAAAAAAATAAAAAATAAATGCAAGTTTACTCTCATAACACTAATTATGGTGTATTGATTATTAATATTTATATAACTATTACTGTAATACGACTTTGTCAAGATAACTTCTCCTCAAAAAGCCCCCCCCGACATTATTTTCGCAATATTTTTCACTCCAAAATATCACATCTTTTCAAACATTTGCCGTCGTACGCTTGTAACATTCCACTCTCTTTTTTGAAAAATTACAACTTTATTATTGTAACTTTTCAGGGGAAAAAACTCAACCAGACTTTACTCTCCTAAAAAACCCTTTTTGTTAAGAGTATGATTTTTCTTGAAACTTACAAGAATAAGAAAAACTTTATTCGTCTCACAATGGAGAAATTCCCAATCTACAGCAGCAAAGTTATGAAAGGAAGAAAGTAGAAGAACAAAAAGTAGAGGAGCTGCTGTAAAGGCAGCCACTCATACAAACTCTTAGTGGAAGATGACGATTTAATAAATAATAAAATAACGAGCAGATTTTTCCCACAAAGTAGTGAAAAGACCTTTGTTACAATGAACCGTGAGAAGTTAACTGCTTCGCGACCTTGCTTCTGAACAAAATGTACAGCGCGGGATTCCCCTTCGTTGCTTAGTAACACGACCGATCGACTCCCACATTGTTGTACTTCCGGAGCCGCGGCGCACGTGGTCTGAAAACACGTCTGGTAAACGGAAGCAAATCTGTGAAGGCGGAAATTGTCTCTCAGTTTGTGATAATATTTGTGGGCGGCATGGTGATGGACTGGTTAGCACATCCGCCTCACAGTGCAGAGATGCAGGGTTCGATTCCGGCTCCGTCCTTCCTATGTGGAGTTTGCATGTTCTTCCCGTGCCTACGTGGGTTTTCTCCGGGTACTCCGGTTTCCTCCCACATTCCAAAAACATGCATGGCAGGTTAATGGAACACTCTAAATTGTCCCTAAGCATGAGTGTGAGCGTGAATGGTTGTTCATTTATGTGTGCCATGCGATTGGCTGGCAACCAGTTCACTGCCCGAAGACAACTAGGATAGGCTCCGGCACCTCCCTTGTGGGGATAAAGCGGATCGGAAAATGGATGGCTGGATTCCTCACTGCCCACATCGTCTCGGCATGTACTCACGGGTCGTCGGTGTCGCTCTCCGTCTCGCTGTCGGCTCCGCCCCTCTCCGCCGGGGTGTTGTTGTTACTAGCCGGGGGCGGACGTGACGGCGACCTCCTCTCCAGGTCGGGGGCTCGCCCGTCGCCCACCAGTGCCACGCCGCATCGAGGCTCTGAAACGTTGCAACAGCACAAATCGCAATCACAAACCTAATTCGACATAAATTACAGACAAAAAAAAATTATATATATGTATTTTTTTTTTTTTTTGCTCGATATTTATTTGGACTTTTCTCGGAAAAAAAAAAAACAAAACAGCTTTACGCTTCTGAATTGCTACTTTTTGACTTACCAAAAAATTCTGATTATGTTTCTTTTCTTCATACCTTGGTTTTGATTGATGAGCTGTTGGCCATCCACGGCGGGCTGGACGGCCGCTCCCGATTGGCCGGGCTCCAAAAAAGGGACGAGCGAGTGCCAAGGGAATACTGGCACAGAGCGAGGCTCCACGTTGGTCCACACTGGCGTACGTTTGCATAGAGATGGACACACACACAAACAAAAAAAAAAAGTAAGCGGTCATTCTTGTATTATTGCAGCTTTTTTCTTTTCTTGGACGTCACAAGGGCCCGATCGCTCGTCTGATATTCGCTCTTTCTATTTTGGGTTATTTCTCTCTCTGCCTGGAATTCATTTCATTATTGTTGTAAGCATTAAAAGGACTCCCCAAAATTATTTTATTGATTATATATTTTGTTTATGAATTCACTGATTCATCCGTTATCAGAATTTTACTCTAGCAAACATCATAATTTGCATCAAACTGTCCATACTGGTCAGGCCATTTCTTACAGATTTTTTTTTTTTTTTAATAAGTGATCCATCCCAAGCCAGTGACACTTTGTCAGGAAGTTCCTTCAGCTCTAATCTGATGACCAAAATGAATCCCAACAAAAACACAATCGATATGGCACCAAACCAAAACAAAGGCATTCCAATGCAAGCTGACACGTTGAGGTGAAGCCACACCGCTGCTGAGTTGTCACTCCTGCCGGCACCCGCCTCACTTCCTGCTGATGCCAATGCGGCTGCTCTATATTTAGATTGAGGAGGAATCTCAGCCACAGGGGCCTACGCCGCCTCCCGTTTGTTTTTATATGTATTAAGTGACCCCCCCCCAACCCCCCGCCCAAAATATCGCAGTTCATTGCGGGTACTAACGCAATCATTTTAACAGCAGACAGGCAAATCTGAATTCACAGTTGCGTCCCTTCAGTGTAGTACCACGTTGTGCTACAACATTACAGGCAGCACAGCACTGATCAAAATGTGAACTGGAATTTTTGTGGGTGGGGGGGGGGAACCCTCAACATTTTCTTTTGAGGTCACATTCCCCCAGCCCAAGAAACTAGCGTAATACCAAAAAGGCAATCAAACTTGACTATATTGAGGAAGTTACTGACGGCGAAACTGCGGAAAGACCACTATGCTAGCATAAAGCTATTTGGTGGGGGTTTAGTCCAAACTATATAGTTTGGTTGAATATTTTGGCTTTGAAAATTACAATGTTTCATTTTTACAGTCACCTTCATAAATGGAGGTTGCCTCGACTGCATTTTTTTTTCTTCAAGGCACGGTGGAGGCGAAGCTACGGTACAAAGGCAGGTGGCTGGCGGCCGTGCGAAGGATGTGTGTGTGAGGGCGTTAGCGTTGGGATAATCAGCTAGTGCGCTAATTCCTCCAACACATAACCATGACAACATGCCGGCCGTAGCCCACCGCAGCTCGTTTTTTTTAGTGATCAGATACACTCACTGCCCGCTCTGATTCTTGTGCGTGCGCGCGTGGGTGCGTGAACGTCCTGGTTGCACTCTGCGCTGCATGTCTAGACATGTCAATATTTTCACCCTTTGAGAGTTTCACTCACACTCCTTATCTCTTCCACGCACGCACGCTGGTATAAAGAGCAACACCCCTGGCACACACAAATCCACGCACACATAAATAATACAGGCTATAAATGGCAACACACATACAAGACAAACAACCTAATTATTAATAATGAACAGCAAGGGTGGGGTGACCAGCATGAATAATTGTCGTCGTCGAAGTGGTTGTACACATGCTCACATAACCTGCCTCTGTAGTAAAGAATTGTGAAGGTTCTGCAAAGCGCTTTGTCACAGGAGCAGCTATTGTGAAAGTGCTAGATAAATAAAGATGTATTGTAAAATGTACAATGAATATAATTTCTAGAGTCAAATAATCGTCTCAACCAATCAAGATCATTTCTTGTTTTAAATCATATGAATAATCATGACTATCATAAGAAGAAACGTGAAAATCCAAAGCTTTGTCCTAGAGTTCTCCCAAAATATTTTAAAAAATATAAATTGATTTATCCACGTCAAATTGTTTTTAAAAAAAATATTTTTCCGCATGAGACGGAAAAAAAAAAACACCCCAACAAAAAATCCATGTTACCATCAAAATCAAGGCATAAATTCCCCCTGGATAAATAATTATGCAGTTTACCTAGAAAACATTATAAATAAAAAATAAAAAAAACATCTGTGATGAATACAAATTTAGATAGATCCAACAAAACTAAAAGATGTTTTGTTCCACAGAAGGATTAAAAATATATTCTGCAAATGAAAATCCAAATTACCTTCGAAACCACGCTACAATGTTTCTCTGGTTAAATAATACAACTAAAACTCTCATAATGTGTTTTCGACAAGCGTTCGACAAGCTACAAACAGAACTAAATGTATATCCCAATGAACCGTGGCCCGATAACGTCCCTAAATTAAACAATTTAAGAACCCTAAAATGACAAAATGATGGGAGCTCATATTCCTCCTCAAACTCATAACGTCTGTATTTCGCCATAGTGGAGGTGTGGAGTGTTGTCATAGCAACGGTTTTATAGTATGTGATTAACACCTCCCTTTACTTTACTCACACAATGTGCCTCCACAGAATCACATCGCCAAAATACATGCATACAAGAACGAAAGACACCCACAAGTTTCAGAGTGAGACCAAAGCGAAGACACTGTAAAGTCAAACAAAAAGAGACGCCAGAAATACAGATAGAAGATGAAAAATAATACCATTTCTTGATACAAGAACCTTCTCTTGCGGCTAGAACATTCTCTGGGGACTACTCCCTTTTCTCTGGACTAAACCTTGTCTTGGGGACTTAAACGTTCTCTGGGGACTAGAAACTCTTCTTGGAACAGGGTCGAAGACGTTCATTCACAGACTAGTACCTGCACTCGGAACTCAAACATTCATCTTGAAACGAGAACCTTCTCTTGAAACTAGAACCTTCTCTCTGGACTGGTACCTTCTCTCGCTCAATGAAGGACCTTCATGTATATGTCTACGGTAAGAAAATTCCTTACCCGTGCCGGGGCGTCCCATGATGATCTGCTTGCGGGGTGCAGGGTGCGAAGACTCGGCGGGTAGAATGAGTGGCAGGAGGGCCGTGGGTGTTGGGTGGCACGCTACAGGCTGTGGCAAGGCCCCAACGGTGGCCTCCAGGTGCCCCTCGGGTTTTCTCTCCATGCCCCCAGACCCTGACGTGGACAGGATGTGGCCTGCAGTGGTCGACGTTGAACCGGCGGCTGGTGAACTTGAGTGGGGGGCATGGCCTGCTGAGGCTGGGGTGAGGGACTGCGCAGAGGAAGTAGAAACTTTGGATCAGAGGCGGTGTGCACCCTTGACTGGTCGTCAGCCAATCAAAGTCAGGGCACATATGGACAGACAATGGATTTGTCGCCAGTCAATGTCGGTGCTCACAGTGACAAACAACCAACAGGTCACCACCAGTCAATGTTAGGGTACATATAGACAAACGGACTGCTCATCAGTCACACAGAGTGACTCATCAGTCACATAGACGAAAAACTGCTTGGTCAACAGTTAATGCCAGGGCACATAATTTAATACCCTTTGAGACTTGAAAGCCAAAGAGTACTGCTTGGTGGAATGAATTCAGGTTATCAAAACAAAAAAAACACCGTGTTTTTCTTACCGAGCTGGACGTTACCAGGACGAGAGCAGATGCAGGATTGCGGAGGAGAACGGTGCCGTTAGTTGTGGCTCCGTTTATGGGAACAGGCGCTTGAAGGCCGGGAGGGACTGCGTGTTGGCCCTGGCTCAGCTCCCTGGATCTGCTCCTTTCCCGCCTTGCTAGGGGGCCGTCAGAGAACTTGGCCAGGGGGACGTCGGGGTTGCGGACGATAACAGGAGAATCCCGCAGTGGCACGATGCGACGCGGAGAAGGTTCCTGGGGTAGCGGAGATGGGGGCGTGGGAGAGACCAGCATGGGTGGGGGTGTGGAGGCAGCAGAGGACGGGGGCCGGCTGGTGGAGCTACGTGGCCGTGGGAAAGTCAATGAAGAAGGAGTTGTCGGTTGACTCTGGGGGGAAAGGACTCTGAAGGCAGCAGGCCCGAGGTTCAGATCACCCCCAACACCTCCCCCTACAGCCACCATTTGTTGTTGCTCCGGTTTGGTCTGGTAGTCGTGGACTACTGGCAGTGGAGGAGGCGGGTGGCTGTCCAGCTTCCTCTTGCTGGGACTCATTGGCACCGTAAAAGTGAGGTTGGTGTGACAAGTCGGCACAATGCCCGAAAGGTGTCGCTCCCGTTCTGTGCTCAGAGAGCCCAATTTTGTGCCACTCAGCTGGCGATGACGGCGTGAGGATGGAGCAGTTATGGGGCTAAAATTTGCTGGGCGGAAACCACCAAAGAGTGGAGAGGGAGACGGCGACGGGGTCGGAGAGAAGGGGGACTGGTTGGAGATGGGTGAGTATGAGGGTGTCCCCGAACGGGAACCCCCCAACGACACCAGCATAGTCGCCGCTTCACATTCATCAAAGTCAAAGCGAGAAAAGTCCTGGGGGAGCAAGGAGGGGAGGACCAGACGGGGCCGGGAGTCTCCTCCACGGCTGCTGGCCTCGCTGCTTTCCCGGGAAGTCTCGTCCCAGTCAAACTCGGAGCTGGCTCGGCCGCCACTTAGTCGCAAGTCAGACGGTGTCAAGGTCCCTGTGCTGCTGGACCCTCCTCGCTCTCTGATCCCCCCGCTGGCCTCCATCTCCTTGGTCCTCATGGAGAGGTGCCTGGAGCAGTATCCTCGGCGCTGGGATTCCTTGGAACAGCCTTCGCGGGAGCACAGCCTCCTCCACTGCTTCCCGTTAAACTTCTTGCGGATGCCGGTTGGCGTGCACACTACGTCTCCCTTCTTGTACTTCTGCTGGGCGGCTGTCAGTGGGGTGCGCGAACGTGAAGATGAGGAAGAAGTGGAACCAGAACCGCCACCTCCAGTGGAGGAGACACCTCCTGATGCTTTCTCCACTCTGGAGGAGGACATGGTGGAGGAGATAGCGGGCAGGGGCGCGAGCTGGGCAGCGGAAATGACAGCGGTACTAGCTGCGACAGCTGCAACGGCCGGATCCAGACCGAGCAGGACCGGGGAGGGAGGTGGGTGTGGGTTTAGGGCAAGGTGGCCGGAGGGAATTCCAATTCCCTGCACCACAGACAGATGAGGATTGAGGTAGCCGGGTGGAGGCTTAGACACAATGTGGCGGTGCTGAGGAACTGCCATGGGTTTGGGCCCCGGTATAAGTGCTCCCATGGGGACCATGTTGAAGCGGGACACCTCCATGTCTTCCTCAGGGGTGAGTGGCATGTACGAATGATGTTGCTGCTGTTGCTTTGTAATAATCTCCCTTTCTCTTTCCTGCTTTCTCTGGAGATCTCTCTCTCTTCCGAGATCTTTCTCAATGTCCCACTTGCGGCCAGGAGCCAGGCTGAGGACTGAGGCCGGTGTGACTGGAGTGGTAATGCTGTGTCCTGGTGTGGAGGAGACAGGAACCATGCAAGGGTACACCCTCCCCAATAAGGGCCCGACTACCGGTGTCATCCCCCGGCTGAGACGACACACCTCCTGCTCCACGTCCATTTCGTCCCTGTCTTCCTGTGCCATTTCATTATCTCGAGCACCTACTTCGGTCTCTCTTGATGGTAAGTCCAAGTCCCAAGGCGGCACCAGGAGCCGGAGTGTTTGCCTGGACACCCAAACAGCCTGGGTGGCACTGGCCGCGCCCCTGTCACCCTCATCTTCATTCAGAGATGAAGCTTTCTCATCAGACAACAGAACACGGTAACAATTAGCCACCGCTGGGTGAGTATCCACCTGAGTCACCACGCCTTCCCGGTACCACTGACCCCCACAGCCTTCCTCATTGCTGAAAGGCACACAGACACGAGTGCCGAGTGGAATAGGGTGCACACCAGGTGGAGGGGCATCGAGGATAAGGTCAACAACCCCTGGGGGGCTGATGTTGCGATAAGGATAACGGCAGAGTGTCTTTTCCCCATTCAGTTGCACCTCCAGGCTTCCAAATTCGCCGTTGACTCTACGGACCACACCAGCACAGAACACCAAGCCCGAACCCTTCCCATCGTTCCTTCTTTCAGCTCCTCCATCCTCATCACTTCTTAAGCGCTGACGAGCTAGGACTCGCTGATTTTTTAGTCCCCTGGCCAAGGCGTCAGAGAGCGCATCAGGGAGACTGCAGGGCGGGCGTGAGGAAACATCTACGACCACCTCCAGGTCTGCCGAGTGCTCACTGGCCGTGTCTGTGGAGGAGCAGCGAGGTAGAGGGCTGGGCGACACTCGCTCCCCATCCTTGACCCCCTCTACCCTTCCTGGCCTTTCCCTTTCCCCTCGCAGTGAGAGGATAGGTGGTCCGGGGGAACCGTCCTGATGTGGTTCTCTGCTGTCCGCCAACAGGCCCCGACTTTGACTGTTGCCATCAGGGTGCGAAACACGTATGGGACTACCTGAACACGATGACCCCTGGTTCAGGGCCCCGCCGCCAACAAGAAGAGGAGGAGGGGTCCTGGAAACAAGGTTGCCATGGTTACCCCCAGTAGTAATGGAACAGTGTTCAGATGTGTACTTCTTCTTGGGAACACGGGCCTTAAAGGTGGCAGTTTTGCGACTGGACGAGGGATTGGGGCTGCTGTTGGCGCTTGGTGTGCTGCTGTTACTGCAGCTGCTGGCATTGCTGTCACTGTGGCTCCCAGCACTCAATGCCGAATGTCCGGATCGATCGTCTGGCGATGCTAGTAATTTACCAGAGTCAATGACAAGCGATTCTCCGTCGGAAGAGTCCCTGGTTCTGACTGGATCTGAGGACTCCGACTGTGATGAGAAAGAGAAGTGATCCTGGCCTTGCCCGGTTCTGTCTCGGTTTTCATCAGAGTCTCTTTTCTCGCCTCCTTCCAGGACCTCGCTGGCACCCCGCCGCTTTCCCCCTTTGGCTCGGGTGGAGGGGGGGGAACGCCGACCCTGCTTTTTAATTGGCTTCATCTTGTCATGAAGCCCGGATTTCCTTCAGGCAAGACCGTCTCCTTGTTCTATCCTGCTTGCTTCTCCTTTGCCCCCCCCCCCCCCTCTTTTTTTCTCTCTAGTTATGTCTTATAGGGCGCCTCACTGGCATCGCTTCTTGACCGGGGCAACTTCTTCACTTGCCACTGTTTTATTCCAGAGATGCTGAAAGACAGAAATGAAGAGCCAATCATAATTTGTACAACTAACCAACACAACAAGAGTGTTGACCGAGTTTCATCCATCCATTTGTTCGTGTGTGACTGCTCTGAAAATTATGTATCCACTGTAAGTATACATTTCATTCATTTGTCTATTACATACCAAAGACGTACAGTGATAGGCAGGACAAATAAATGTTCTGTTTCACTTGATGTCAGATGGCGCACTTAAACTATGCCAACACCTGTTAAAGTTCATACAACAAATAATTTTATGATCTGCCACTAAACAGCACCAGAACACGCACCGCATAGGAATGATATTTGTGGGTCCATAGAGTCGGGATCTCATTATTTCCAATACATCTACTTTTTGTGACAATTTTTTTTTGGTGCTTTGTAGCGAGATTTGTTGTGCAGTAAAATATGTGCCTTAGCTTTTTAAAGATTTGGGAAATAGTCCCATTTCATTTGAGGTACATGTAAACACTCTGAATGCGTGATCCGGAGCCTTTCTCCCACTAAATCTTCCTCGCAGACAAACAAACAATGTTCGGCAGTAACACTTGGGATAAAATCTTTCCTGGCCTGGAGGCCTTCGTCGACCTAAACTCTTGCTAACGAACTTGGAGGAAGCGGAGAGTTGTCTCTTGTTCATTTCTGATGACTATTTAGGCAGCTATTGATGAATTGGCGTCGTAATGAATGTGACTCATTGACACTTTGATAACGCGCCGTGGTGTTACACAAGATGTTGTACTCACATAACAGTGCATCCATACAAGGTGGCTAGCAGGCTAAACGCTGCAGCAGCAGAGCGGCTGAAGTAAAAAAATGGACAAGCACTTTGCAGTTTGCCCGGACAAGTCTTCCTATTCGCTCTCTCTCACACACACTCACACTCACACACACACACACACACACACACACACACACACACACACACACACACACAACCACACAAAACCACGCACACTGCATTTTATCTGGGGAAGCAGGGGCGGGGGAATTCCTTGTTCGCTTGCATACTTAAACCCTCCCTTTCACTCTGTCTTGAACACCCTCCACCCACCCTCATCCTCGCTCCTTCCTCCTCTTCTGTGGCGACCTTTATCTGTTTACTGTATTGCAAAGCGGCGTCAATCCGCCCCGACTCACTCCATTTCCTGTGGAAGAGCATTACCTAACTTCCCCTTTTACTTCATTCCTCCTTTTCGCAGCTCATGCTCACGCGTGACCGACGTCTCCGATTGACTTGGACTCGTCACTGACATTCAGAAGGGATGAGTCCTGATGACTAATGACACTTGTGCTTCCACTCAAAACAAACAACCCCCCCGCCCCCCCCCCAAAAAAAATATCTAATTGATTTAACTGACATGTTGAATGAAACATTTGGCGCTATAAGTGCCTGCATTCAAAATTAAAACCCCAAATATGCTGCAGTGGAAGGATGTGACCTCCCGTTTCAGAATCCTGCGCTGCGCGCAAACAAAAACGGCTGACATGCTGGGAAATGTAGTGTCCGGACACTACATTTCCCAGCATGCCTCACAACCCCAATAGGTGTGGCTGTTTACGGACTGGAAAGAGCCTGGAGGAGAAGCCCATGCAACGTGGACAAAAATTGTTTTTGAATTTTGAGAGCAGACTTTAGTTGGAGGTTTACTTTTTTTTTTTTTTAAACCTCTTCTGAAACATTCATGCACTTTGGAAAAAAAAGAAGAAAATAAATATTGATTTTGCTGATATTTTGACCTGAGAAGACTCCCTTTTGCCCCGGCGAACCTCTTGTGATGTTCGTTACCTTTCAATGGTAGTTCCTGAGGTAACCTTCAAACATGACATTAAATTTTAATGTTAATTAAAACCAGCTTCCGACATCAGATGCTGCCAACAGTCTTAGCGCGTAGCGTTAGATGATTGAATTAGCTGTTGTGACCATTTCATTTGTTTGCTTTTCGGTTCTTTGTCACTTGTTTTTTTTTTTTTTTTGGCAGTCAGGAGTGAAAAAGTGTGGGTCCAAAAAAAACAAAACAAAAAAAAAACCAAAAACAAAGGTGGTAATGAAACCCCTACCCATACATAGCGCGAATAGTCCTAAAACGGTCAGTCCGAGCCGAAAGACAAGCCGAGCACTTTAAAACCACAACGGCTAAAAGTGCCAAAACCAACAACACATAGGATGGAAAAGAGTGACATCACTGCTTTCTGCCGTTAAAGTTCGAAGATATTAAAAGTCATCGTGTGGTTTTGGGGTCCAGATGGGGAAAGAAGTCCAAACCCACAAAAAGAGCAAGAAGGGCACCACTGAGAATGAGATCAAAGATGTTCACTGATCCCACAAAACAGGAAGCGATGACCAGTCAATGTCAGGGCCTACTTTGGACAAACAATGCCATATCTTGACTTGACTCATGTCAAGTCAAATTTATTAATGTAGCCCGTAGAAGCCCCCCCCCCCACTCATAAACACGAAAGTCAAGGTACCGTTGTGTTCAAACCGAGAGCGTGGTGAGCCTTGCGTAGTGGCAGCTGAGGTGGAGGGAGCGCGTGTGTGAGTAACCGAGTGCGTGTGTGAGCGAGTGCAGTTTTGTTGCGCGCAGGGGCGGAGCAACAACTGGTGGCGCAGTCATGTGGCTGATGATAACACGCTGGCATCAAAAACCTGATGCAACTTGTGCTGGTTCGTGTGAAACCCGCAGCGACCTTTTTAACAGTGCTTCTGGAAAACTCAACTCGATACGTCGACGGGAAGTCCACAAAGTCTCTTTACAATTGGAAAAAATATGTACGATAGCAAAGGACGAGTAATATCAATCGAATGTGGTTAGCAAAGTCTTTCATTCCGCCGTATTTGATCATTTCGGGTACCCCTTTAAATGCCTACTCTTCAAGGAAAGTGTATCGTGGTTTATTCAAACAAAACTGAATACTCATTAAGTACAGAAGACATCCGCATTTGCGTTCGTCAAGTCCTCGGAGGGAGAAAATGCACTCACACTCTACTTACAGTCAGCAGAACGACAGATACTTGTCAACAACAAAGTAAAAAAAAAAAAGTCCCATTTCAAGTTGTAACATAAATCTAAGAGAATTAAACGTGTATTTAAACAAATCACATAACTTTCCAAAGTCCACTAGCTGAACACACAATGCCAAATGCCATAGACTGGCTAACAAAACTCGCATCCATGTCACAGTAGTATTGAACGCACAGGCCCAACGGTGAAAAAGAAAAACCTGCAAACGATATGACACTTATTCAAACTGCCATGGGAAACAAAAATATACATTCTTTATCCTCAGCAAAAAAAACAAAAAAAAAATCTAACTACTGCTGCTTACTGGGTCACTTAGTTGTGAAACTCTTCTTCACCAAAGTGAAACACAGCCTTATGTAATAATAAGCACTGACTGGCAATGAGTGCAATTGTATTTCACATGTGCGCAGGGACAAAAATACCCACTGGAGTAGGCCGAGTCACGTTAGGTGAAGAAAAAATAAATAAAAACACGATTGTGTATTCACTATGTCAGGTCACATGACTCGCAATCTTAGCCACAGAATCAAATGTGGCCTAATGTAATGAATATAAATGAATAATGTCAACCGTAAAGGAATGTCATGTGAAGACTACGGCGAATATAAAAATTCTACACACCCCTGGTCAAAAGCCAGTTTATGGTGTGATAAAAGAATGAGACCGAGATGAATTATTTTCAGACCATTAATATGACGTGCAAAGTGTACAAATCAAATAAAGATTTTTGAGGAGGGAATTGAAAATAAATGACTGAAATGATGTGGTTGCACAAATGTACACACCCTCTTCGAACTGGGATGTAGCTGTGTTAAAAAAATAAAAACGTCACAATCAAACTCATGTTAAATGAGACTCAGCACACAACTGCCACCATTTAAAGTGCAACCAATGAACCCCAAATAAAGTTTTGTTATTCTAGTAGGCTTTTCTGGACTTTTTTTTTTTTTTTTTTTAAGCAGAAGCATGAAGCTTTTGTGGACCTTGCGCATAAAAACATTCCCCAAATACATGTGGGATTTTCATTTATTTTTTTTTTTTAAAGGAGAAGCATGAAGCTTTTTGTGGACCATGTCCATCACAAAAACTCTCAAATTCATGTGGAAAAATGTGTTATGGTCTGATGAAACCAAGGTTGAATTTTTTTGGGGCCATAATTCCAAAAGGCATGTTTGGTGCAAACACACCCAATACATCTCCAAAACAACACCAAAGCTCGAGTGAAGCATGCTGGTGGCAGCATCACGCTTTGGGGCATTTTTTTGTTTTTTTTTTTTGTTTAATAGGTCATGTTGAGAGTATAACTTTTTTTTTTCTCCACGATTTATGGTAGTCTCTTTTTTTAAACCACAAAAACCTTGAACATGGATGTGTAGACTTTTTAAATCCACTCTAGTAGACCACACATTCATTCAACACTGATGTAATGATTCAAACGTATCTCTAATACTGTATGACACAGACTGTAATTACAAAGTTTACGATATGGTAATCATTAACCTTTCATATAAACTGAACTGGTAACTTTTATGATCATCATTTTTTTCTTTGCCGATGACACTGTTGTCAAATGCTGTTTCTAATTATTGATCCTCTAGCGTGGTCCTTTGGCTATTAGCATCACTGTTTTTTTTTTTACGACTCTGATACTGTTGTTTTATTGCAGCGAGAAGGGCTGCGCACAAAAGTGCACTATAATTATAATGACACACAAGTGTATTATTATTATTAATGACAGTTAAGACTTATGATCAGAAGGGACCCTGAAGGCCTCACACACTCAGTGACAAGAAAATGACATTCTAGAGATGTCACTACCATGAAATGGAATGTTACGTGTTACACACCGCCGTTGTAATGTGTGTGTGCATGCGCACACACACAAACGTCGACTGCCGTACAATTTGCTTCGCTGGGGTCATCTATCCACATGGTATGGGATGTCTGAATACTGCGGACTCTCTATTTGTCACGCACAAAAGCTGGGCCGTTGTGTGCAGGGGGGAATAACTAAGAGTAACAGGATTATCACAGCTGGGCCTGCGTGGAGTGGAGCTTGTTTACTAGCGGCAAGTTGAGACGGTGGTGAGATATTATGGGATGGCTGTTGCTTATTGAGTGTTTGTGACACTGCGCCGAATTTCTGGAAGGTTTTTCAGGTTGACTATTTGACGATGAGAGAGGTGACACTGTGGGCTACGTATGAGCACATGGTGGACGTTCACTTAGCAAGACGATTCAGTTACCACACTGAGTGTGTACTGTTTGACAAATATACTTCAATGACAGCGTGGACATTTTTCGGCAAAGTTTAGCATCAAATGAGGAAATTCAGTTATTTCTTTTGTTTGTGAGAAAACGTGAGGTGAGGGAATAAACATACATTAAATTGCAATCACTATATTTGTTTTTTTCACTTCAAAATCGTTGAAGTTAAATACTTTTCACATATTTTGGCCAGTAAAGAGTATTCTGATTCTATGTTATATAAACAAACTTGACTATTACAAAAACAGCGAGGGACTACGTGAATTTTTATGCAACCCTGACAACATGCATGCATGCATGCATGCATGCAGGCCGAGCAGCCCGTATTGCCTGCACGCACGCACGCACAACACACACACACACACACACACACACACACACACACACACACACACACACACACACACACACACACACAAAAGGCCGCAAGGAAATCCTGCTCTTCCGAGGAGGTTCTTCCCAGGCCTCTAATTGCCACCCAAAAATTAGCTGCGCCAAACAACAACAAGGCACCCAAGTAGATAAAAAGTGTCAGCTCGGCCTCATCTAAGAATGACAGCTGTGTGAAATGACAGCTGGGGCCTCCTGCACAACTTTGCACGACCTCACGTCGTCATTGGCCCCAGTGTAAATGCTTTTTTTTTTCTAAAATACATTTGGTTGACAAGGCCATTCGACAGCCCCCCCACACCCCCTTCCCGTTCCTCCTTTGCACTCAGTCGTGATAACGACACCCTGTGCGCTAAACACGCAGCCGTCGGTGTAGTTTGTTAGTTATGACGTTGGATTTAATTCTAGTGGAAAACTTTGAGGCTGGCTCACTCTGTCGAGACGCACCGCTCCCTTTTTCTCTCTCCCCTCCCTCCCTTCTCTTCCCTCGCCTCCCCTTCCACGCACACGACAAGCACGTCCACGCACTAAAATACGCAGAAAATAACAACGTTAAATCCGAACAGGAATAAAAGGGAGAATGTTAGTGACTCGTTGCGGTGCTTCAGGAGAAGCTTTAGTTAGCTAACACTCACTGCGCGGCTAA